TATATAGTACACCTACTACTGAACACTCGCTTACAATCGTCCCGAAAACTTGTCTCGATGGTTGGCATGATGTTTGCTAACATGGACAAGACCTCGAACATCAGTAGGAGGGCATTAACGTCGTCAGTTTCCAAAAGAGACTGTAGCTGCATCTTGATTTTGTCTTGTACCTGCCAAGAATATAGTATAGAGTACAAAGATATAATTGAGATCAATTATTGTGCCTACGTAAGAGATATACATTTCTATGGAAAGGTGAAGCATATGAAGATATTGTCGTTACATTAGGCAGCCACTAGCATGTACACGACGTTGTACTACTACACAGGACCGACATTCATTTAAAACATGTCAAGTACAGAAAAATTGGGATTTGACAGAAAAAGAAATATACGGTTAGGAGTGATGTATTCGACACGCCAGATATCACTATGCAAACCATGATCCCACTCTGAACATACTCCTTTATCGTTGACTGACTCGAGTATGTGTCCAAAGACTGGAATAGTGGACACCCTCACATCCCTGCATACAATGACACAGAAAGGTGTCATTAAAGAAATTAGAAACATATAGTATACGTGATGAACACAGTATCGCAATTGGCAAAGTCTCGTATGTTATTACACTGAAGGCAATATACAAGTGTACAAGATCTACCACATGTGAGTTTAGGAAAAGTAGAGCTTGAAATGGTGAAAGTAAGGGCAGAACCAGCATCAATTTGCAATGATATAATTGCGAATCAGATGAGCCCCTGTATCTTTTGTATTTGTACAAGCTGCATTTATGCCACTGACTTGGCGCCTTCCCTTGAATGATAGTACAAATTAAATGTAGTGACAACTTACATGTTCTCGTCACTGCTGAGAGTTATGACTGCAGGCAGTACACGATCGCGCAGGGTGACGACATCGCAGCACAACAACAGTCCTTGCACCAACTGCGCCCACATGGCAGATACAGTAGCCCAAAAGTCAATTTAATCAGAAATCGGAATGTGTGGGGAGTGATACATGTGTGTGTTAGTTGATTTATGAGAAATAGGTCAGCATGTTTAGTGTGGCTTTACAAGATGATATACTAGACGCAGCCGCCAAGAAGAACGCCACTGACATATACTGCAGCGGATGCCCCAACGTAAGCGTGGACGATGCATAAAGTACTTACTAGTGACCCATTATACATATGGTCAGTTCCAAAGTGGCTATGGCATGTCCCATTCCATACCTGAGGGATAGCGCACACTTCTCATAGCCCATACACTGACAATATGGAAGAACACGCACACACTGCACAGCTGCGCCTTGCACTCTAAAGTACTGATGCAGGTACATGTAGATCGATAAGCACGGATACTCATATGTTTGCATGCAATTTGTATCTAGGGAAACTGGGGCATTCATCAACAAATCATAGGAATCGGGAAACCGGCCACGTCTTCCACAGCTGATCGTGTATAGCAGTTCACAGAATACAAAGACAGGTGTGTTCATAGCGTAGTGGACGATGTACTCGCACACTTTGCTACAACATACGTAGGGAGACGTGGCACGAATGGCAGCGTCTGGACTGACAATCATATCCCACATCAGCGACACAACGTCTGCAATCAACGCTTCGTCGCTCTTACTATACATGAGTGAAAAAATGAAATAAAAGTTGGGGAAACGAGAAAGAAATTGTAGGAGAAAATGCACATGTGTGGAATAAGAAAGGGAAAAGTAAAGAGAAATTAGATATGTGTGAAAAATTAGTCATTGCATACGTGTAATGTGGACAAGGGAATGTAAAACTTGTAAATGACTCTATGCATGTCCGAGACGAAAAAAAAAAGTAAATTAGAGAATTAAAAGAGACACGGCACACGTGATATTTAAAAGGGAAAAGAAGAAAAAAAAAAAGTAAAAAACATGGACATTATTAAATGAGAAAACAATAATACGAGAAAGCAACAAGGGGCAATGTGCAAGTGAAAAATCAAAAAAATATTTAAAATAGGAAACTTATATAGATTATAAAATATACCGTTGCGCAACCGCCATGAATTGGTGCTTTGTGACAGGCATTCGCTACTGTGAATAGCAGATAATAGTAGTATATTCATGGTGGTTGTGGGTTGTCTGTATGTCTGCTATCCATCTAAGGTCTTGTATCTGATACCTAGCTCAAATCTTGTGGTTTATAGGAGCGTATTATAATGACCCACCCGTCCACTCACCACAGCATCCGAACGACAATTTCAAGCAGAGGGTAATCATCGGTAGTCCAGCCATTTTTGTTAGTTGCGATATCAGTCATCAATTTCTGAGAAGAGAAAGATAACGGCGAGTATGAGCTGAAGCTGAATCGGGGAATACACTTCAGACGGTGTTAAGATAAGAGATCCAGCTATGAAAATACGGACACGCACATGAAGAGAAAAGAGTCACGCATCTTCGATGCGTGTGCATGTGAACATTATTCTTGCGCACAAGTAGTCAACTTTTGCCCCAACACGCTACAAATTGATGGCGCAGCTCCCCTCGATCTGCAGAGTAAAAAAATGCATGTACTATATCCACAGTACATGTGGATATGCATACATTCCGCCGCAAAGAGTCTGACATTCATCGGGGACAACTATCACCAAAGCCAAGAGCAGCATTCAAGTAGTACACATACGGAAACGTGTAAATATCAGTGCTCACATATTCATCCCCTATATATATATATATATATATATATATATATATATATATATATATATATATATATATATATATATATATATATATATATAT